AATAAATCTTAAAAAAAAATCTTCCCACAAGGAAAACTCCAGGACTAGGTAAGGACCTGGTATCTTTATCAGCAAACTCTACCAAATATTAATATCAAATTTATTAATGAATATATGCCAATTTTTAGAAACATTTCCAGAGAATGATATGAGGAAATAACTCCACATTAGTCAGCATAATCTTGATACCAAATTTGAGAAAGACATTTTTTTTTCTTTTAAGATTTTCTTTATTTATTTGTCAGACAGGCAGAGGGAGAAGCAGGCTCCCTGCCCAGCAAGAAGTCCAATGTGGGACTCAGTCCCAGGACCCTAGGATCATGACCTGAGCTGAAGGCAGATGCTTAACCTACTGAGCCACCCAGGCACCCCTGAGAAAGGCATTTCAAGAAAGAAAAATTACAGACTGAGTTTGCCCATGAACACAGATGTAAAAATCCTAAGAATTAGCAAATCAAATCAAGCAATATTTAAAAGAGTAATACACCTTGGCCAAAATGTGTTTATTTCAGCCATGCAAGTTTGGTTCTATATTTCAAAACCAGGCAATATAATTCACCACAATAACAGAATAATAGACAAAATACATGATCATGAATAGATTGAGAAAAAGCACTTGATCTAATTTAACATCATTTATGATTTACATCTGTAGCAAAAACTAGGAATAGACAGGAGTATTTTTTTATGACAAAAAGCAGCTGCAAAAAAAAAAAAAAAACTGTAGCAAAAATCATATAAAATGGTAAACTTAAAGGCTTTCCCTCTGGAAATAAGAATGAGAAAAAGGATTCCTCATCACCTCTTTGGTTCCCAACATTGTACTGAAGTTTCTAGTTAGCATAGCAGGAATAGGAAATAAAAGCACAAACATCAAAAACTATTTGCTGACATGTTATAGACATGTAGAAAGTTGGAAAATATCTATAAATTATTGGAATAAATAGTTTTTCACAAGGTTTCTGGATACAAGGTCAACAAAGATCAATTTATCTACATAAATACATAAAAATAAAATTTTAAATACTGTTTATAATAGCAAAATCAAATAGGAATAAATTTAATAAAAGATGTACAAAACCTTTACATAGAATGCCATAAAATATTTTTAAGAGGAACATAAAAACCCAGGTAAATGTAGGGATACACTACATTCATGGATTGGAAGAACTGTTATTGTCAATATGTCTTTCTTCCCACATTCACTTATAAATTCCATGTAGCCCCAATCAAATCCCAGTAAATAATTTGTGGAAATTGACAAACCAATTCTAAGACATATATGGAACTTTAAGGAGCCCCAAATAGCCTAAGACATCTATGAAGATGAAGGAGGTAAGAGAAATTGATCAATTAAATGTTGATTCTTAATATAAGCTACAATAATTAAGGTACTGTCATACTGTTGCAAAAATATGCAAACTGATAAATGGGCAGAATTTAAAAATGTGGAAACAGACTTAATGTGTGCATAGAAACTTAACTAATGACAAAGTTGATGCTGTAGGACGAGGAAATGCTAGTCTTTTCAATAGGAGAGGCTGAGTCAATTGGGTATGTATGTGGGAAAAAAATGAAACTTAAACCCTATCTCACATCATAAACAAAAGTCAATTCTGAATGGGCTGTTGATCTGAATGTAAAAAGTAAAAACAATTAAATTTATAGAAGGCAGTATAAGAGTGTTTTAAGCATTAAACATATAGAAAAATGTTGGTAAGTTGGTCTGCATTAAAATTAAGAATTTCAGTACATCAAAAGACACTATTAAGAAGGAAGAGGCAAAGGCACAGTGGGAGAAGATATTTGAAACATATTCAATTGACAAAGAAAGCCAGAATTTATTAAGAATCCGAAATCAACAAAAGTAAGATAACCCAATAGAAAAATGGGCATACCACCAAAGAGGCTATCCACATGTTCAATTAACATCTGAAAAGGTGTTCCCTTACTAATTTCATTTACAAAATGGGAAATGCAAAGTAAACCACCACTACACACCTTGCAAAAGGACTCAAATGTGAAAGTCTAACAAACCAAGTGTAGGCAAGAATGAGGAACAATGTAAACTCTCACAGGCTGCTAGTAAAGTGTGAACTGGTATGACTATTTTAAAAAACCGCTTGGAATTATTTATTGAAGTTTAGCATAATACCATGTCCCAGCAACTGTAGGTATATACCATGAGAAATGTGTGCACATATGAAAAAGACATGTTCAAAAATGCATATAGCAGCATTACTTATAATCGCCCCCAAATGGTAACAACCCAGATGTCCAAATAGAGTAGAAAAGATACATTTTTGGGGCATTTTCATACAATGGAGCACTATATAATAATTAAAACGAATTTCTGCTATATGAAACTATATGGATGAACCTCACAAATATATTGTTGAACAAAGAAGCCAGAGGCAAGAAATGCCTACATAATGGTTCTATTTTATGAGGCTTTAAAAAAAAAAAAAGCAAACTTGGTTTCTTCAAGGAGTGAAGGCTGCAGCTCAGGTGATACAGGGGTCCCTGGGTTGCTAGCAGTGTTCGATTTCTTTGAGTGTCTAGTGGCTACACTTGTTCAGTCTGTGTTAATTTAATGACAATATTTGTCCACTTCCCTGCACATTTTTACATTTCAATTAGACAATTTAAAAATACAGCTGGATAAAAAATAAGCAATTAGCAGTTAAGGAAAATAATCACAGCCTCATGAAGCAAGATATCAGATAGTACATAGCGCTCCTCAGAGCCCCCTTTCTCCTGGGAGATAGTCCCTAATCTTTTCTCAAGCTCCCTACAGATAGGGAATACTCAGTTACATTTATCTACATAAAACCCAACTATCCAGAACAGTATCTATAATAGCCCTCCGTAAATGTTATACAATGCCTGGAAATTAGATTTTTAGTCAGTTGGTCCTGGAATTGGAAAAACAGTGAGTGGGGAAAGGAGCCAGAGGTCGCACAAGTACTTTCTTAGCAATGTTTCTAGGGCTCTCAATCCAGACCTGGCTAAAAAGGTATTGCTATCAACTCTAAACTCTTTTTAACCTTATATACTTCTAAAGTAACTATTACTTAATTTCCTAATAAACAGTAAGTATATTAATTGCATTAATATGGATTGTTAGAAATGTTGGCTAGATATATTAATATATATAATATTCTAATTGCAAAGTAGGTTTGGTATGTACTCTGGATTTCCTCAAGGTTAGCCTTTGTTATAAAATCTTTGATTGTTTCACTAGCCTGGCTTTTCTTCTCCCAAGTTTTGATAGGGTGGTATAATTATGAGGAAGTAAAATGGTAAAAGGGTGTGTATGGCATGTTCAATGCTCCTCTCTTTTACTACATATTTGCATTTGTGTATTACATATGTGCTTAGGTAAAGGTTGGATGAGTGTGATAGTGGACAGATAATTAAAGGAAGGGGCAGATGGTACTGGTACACAGCCTGGTGAGAAGGTCAGCTGGCTGAGAACTGAAAATTCCATTATAGTACAAAAAAGTGTTCTTAGAGTCTCATAATCACTCCACAAATATTTATTGAATTCCTAAAATTTGCAAAATATTATCTAGGTATTGCCAATACAATAATGAACATGTCAGATAGGACCCCTGCTCTCACGGAGCTTACATTCTAATGTGAAGACAGACATTAAGCAAACGACACAATTATTTCATGACAATTGTGATATGTTATTGAAGTATGTATGATACCAAAGCATATGAACTATATGAAGAATGAAAATATATAATTAGGGGACCAAAGGGGAAGGATGTTTGAATTGATTTTTGAAGTAAAAAGACTTAATTGATGATAATGGGGAATGGGAGGAGCATAATTCCAGGGTATTACATGAAACAAATGAGTGAAGGCTTGTTGGTAGGAAGGAACATAGCATGTTCAAAAATGGAAAAGATCAACATGACTGGTGTATACGGCGCAACAAGGACAGTGGCCTTGGATAGGACTAGTATGGTAGGCAAAAAGCATGCAAGGACTTGTCGAATGTGTTAGTAATTTTGCTCTTAATCCTAGTAATATCAGGATACCTTGAAAGTGTCTTAAGCACCCATTCCAATGTAGGAAGCAGGCTGGTATTTCGGAAAATGGTTTGGTCTGGCAATTGGACCTAGAGCAAATATTACAGGCCTGTGAGGAAATTCTTAATCTCCTGGACTGACATCCTTGTGTATAAAGTTTGAGTCTGGGCTAAAGAGCGCTTAGTCAAAGCCAAAATGTCAGTTACAGATCAACTGACGATCACTTGGTGAACTCTTCCCATCTCTGGAAATGAACGCCTTTTAGATCCAACCAAAAGTCATAATTTAATCTCTGTGATGGTGATAGGGCTGATGTTTGATTATCTCAAAGAAGGCTGGGAAGTCTTCACTAAGATGGGAAGTGGGGAAGAAGATATAGTGCCCGGATGCAAAGTCTAGTCCGCGCGTGTGAGAGCTAATAAGGCAGCAGAAGAGGGCAAGGTGAGAACACTAAGCTCACTAGGATGTTTTAACTTACAGGGAGCCAGTCAAGAGGAAGTTCAGGGGTGCGAAGAGATTTATCAGCAAACCCCATTTTCATCCGTGGCTCCACACCCCCCTTCCCTCACCATATTGGCAGTTACCATCATTTCCTCAAGCTCAGGTTAATGTCGAGCAAGAACAGTTACAAGCACCCCTTTCCTTGAAATTTGCACAAATGGGACCCTTTCTATTTAAAAAGTCTGCAGCGGACTGTGAAGGCGACTCTATAAAGGATGAGAGTGTGTGTTTGTGTGAGTCCGAGGGAGGATGAGGCAGAAGCAAACTATGTAACCCCCAGCGTTCATGTCAAATAGGACCTGGCGATCCCCGCTACAGCACCCTCCTAATTTTAAGGATGGGAAAACGGAACCCTTCGAGGTGAGATGACCTTCCCCAGGTGACACTAGTGGCACAGCCGAGCCACAGTCTGGGGGTCCTTCCGCGACCCTCGGTGGACTTCTGATGTCCCTTTACCTGTGAAGGCGCAGCCCTCTTCCTGGCCCGGAGGAGCGTACTGGAGGCTGGCCGCGGGGCGGCCTCTGCCTGCCTGCCTGCCTGGGGCTCTTCTCCCTTTTCGGGGCCGCCCGCGTGTTCTCCCTCTTCTTCCCCCTTAGGTGCCGGGGCGGACACCCGGTGCAGGGTGGGCACGGCGCCCGCTACGAGCCTCAGGCGCTGGGAGAAGCGCAGGTTCTTCTGGATAACCGAAGAGACGTCAAAACAGGCCGGAGCGAAGTGGTCCGAGCAGATGACAGAGCGGTCATTGCCCCCGTACCAGTCGGCGCGGCGGCCCCGCACGAAGCGGTCCCACAGCAGCCGCACCGCCCGGTCCTTGGGGAAGCGGAACAGCGACTTCCCGGACTTGGTGGTGTTACCGCAGTGGGCGGCCACGCAGCGGGCCGGCATGGCCGCGGCCTCAGCCTCTGCACACCCGCGCGCTCCCAGCCGGGGAGACGCCGGTCCCCCTGCGCCAGTCCGCGCAGCGCGGCGCCTCGTGCGTGCCTCTACCTCCGGCCACCGGAAGTCCCGAGCTGGGGCCCCACAGGGGAGTACGCCGTGCTCGGATATCGGCCTCCGTCCGCTCGCAGCGGTCCTCCCCGGAGAGCAGGGCGCCACCGGCAGCGGGATCCAAATTTCGCGCGGGCCGAACTGAGGTGGGCCGTAAAGAGGAACGGACCGGAAGTGGTGGTTGTCACAGCTACCGAGGCGGCCGGCCTCTTCCCCGTGTCCTCCTCCCCACACTCCCGCTCCGTTTGCACGAGGCCAGGAAAGCAGGACGAGGAAGTGCGGACGCACCGGACCCCAGCAAACATCACCGGAGGCTCTACCGACCGGGTGGGCCAGCCGATTTAGGAGAGGACCAGACCGGAAATGGTCGTCTCCATGGTAACCCCTGAGCGGGTTGCCTGGGAGATGACCCCTTTCGGTGTCTGAGTCTCCGCTGTATCGTCGCTTCTAAGGCAGATCTAACAGATCCTGGACTGTCTCCTGCCATGATTCCCGGGAAGTACCGCTCTGTTTCTGGCCGGGCTGCGAATAACGTAGGTTGGGTCTACTGCCTTACCCTTCTCCCCCATTCGTATCTTTCTTTCTGACTGGCGTCTTTGTCCTAGGTGATGGGCTGTATTATTGGGACCAGGATCGCTGAATCTACTCAAGCTATTGTCTGACCGAGGCTTGAGATTCGTGGACTGGACCAAGGCACTTGGAGGGTATTTAATATTGTGTGATGGGTAATCAAAGTCTTGTCCAGGTTCTTGGCTTCCAGAAGGTGGAGCTGGTCTGCTGTGAAAGGCTAAGACTCATTTCAATTCTTTTAACCAGTCGATCTCCCACCCCTTCTCTTAATTAAGAAAAAAAAATGTATTATTGATAGGCACTCCACCTCCTTCACCTGTCCCATTGAGATATTTACGTAGACTTGAAATGGCAAGGGTCAGATGCCTCAGGTTATAAGGTAGAGGGTCAAATCGCTGCAGACATTTTGGGAAATAAATCACAGGGAAACCTTTTAATTCTTAGTCGCGATTTTATTGTTTTCAGCAGATCGTCAGAACATGATCATTTACCACAAACGAAAAGCAAGCATTCTGTTTTATTCTAAGTGTTTGTTATATCTTTCTCTGTACCAGTTTGGGGAGAAATATGTGTGTATTTAAGTTAAGAGCGTATTTTATGCTATAATTTTTACGTTGCAGGTGAACTGTGGGCTTCATCTGGTTATTCAAACATCATCGCTTCCTGAAAAAAGCAAAGTAAGATTTAAGCAGATTTATATTTAAATCGAAGTTAAATTATTTTATAACCTACACAAATAACAGCATGATTTAAAGAGTAGAGCTAAAATGATTTTTATTCTCTGCCCACCTAAAGTAAAAAAGCCTCTTTAAAAAACTGATTCTTACTTCACCGATTACAAGAGGTGGGTTTTGTTTTGTTTTTTATATTTAAACATTTCTTAAGTCAGGATTCTTCTTAAAATTGATGGCACATCATAGTCGAATTAGGAAAGTTCTTCTTTCTTAGTAGTGAGTAAAATGATGGTATGCCTTACTACTGATGGCATCTTATAATGGATAAAATGTAATAATATGGGGGGATATATCTACAGATTCCATTTATAATCAGGGGAGAACATAATAGATTAGCAGTGAAAATATATTGGGCCTAATGCTATTTAGAAGTTAAGATGTAAACACAAGATTCTTTTTTCCCAGATTTTCATACAATATCCGCTGGCCTTTCCATTATTTCTAGCTTTAGATCTGATTTTTGAGATACATGTTTTTCTTTCCCTCCTGTCTCACCTCAGCACTCAGACATACTCATCTACCTCCCACAGAACTGTCTCAAGACACAAAACAATTTTTCCTCCTTTGCCCAAGTTGGATGCCTCCAGCTATCACAATTCAGTTTTTTTCCTGAAAGATTGTTCAGTAGATGTCACTGGGGGAACTCTAAAGTGAAGGACAGAGTTTACAAACAATAGCATGAGGAGGGTAAGGAGGGGCATGAAGGGGGTTGACAGAAGGACACCATTAGTCGAGGAGGCAGTAGTTGATTATATTAAATGTGAAAATAAACCCTTGAAAAATAGACCATTTGATCATCTTGAATAAATAGCAATTAGCTAGATTAATTGAAAATATTCTTTATTATAATTGGACATAATGGATCCTTGCCAAAGTTTTGCTAATTGATTTTGCTGGAAAAATCCCGTTTTATCATTGTAACGTATTTCTAGGAACTATGTGCCTTGTCCAGATTCTTTTCAAACCACTTACTTTCTCTAGAGTGGACATATGTTCTGAGAAAATACCTTTAGCTCATATAATTCATAAAGTTATAGTACAAATGCTGTTATAATGTTTATTATGGATGAATCAGAAGCATCATAACTCTTTTATGATACTATTTAGGGTTTTTTGGTGGCTAATCACGAGGTTTTTTTTTTTTTCTCAGTCCTATCAAATAATTTAAAATCAATTTAAAGAATATCCTTCTTAGAAGGTTTAGATATACAGTTTTATTACACTTGGATTCTTTTTTTTTTTTTTAAAGATTTTATTTATTTATTTGACAGAGAGAGATCACAAGTAGGCAGAGAGGCAGGCAGAGAGAGAGGAGGAAGCAGGCTCCCCGCCAAGCAGAGAGCCCGATGCGGGGCTGGATCCCAGGACCCTGGGATCATGACCTGAGCCAAAGGCAGAGGCCTTAACCCACTGAGCCACCCAGGCGCCCCTACACTTGGATTCTTAAAAGGAATTCTGATGATAAAAACATAGTGATTTTTTTTCAACAGAATTTACTTTTTGCTATATGATTTTTGCTTTTGTTTTCTAGAAAATGGTTCTTTTAATCATTGTATTTGTGGTGAGCATATGGAGGAATTGCAAGTGGTTTATAGCATAGTTTCATCTGACCCCATGAAATTGACTCTGTGTGTGCGTGTGTGTGTGCGCTAAAAACTCTTAACATAAAAACTGCCATTTTAGCCATTTTAAGTTGTACAAATTTGTGATATTAAATACATTCACAAGGTTGTGTAGCCATCATCAGTGTGTAGTTCTAGAACTTTTGCCACTCAAAAGGGAGTCCCTGTACTGATTAAACAATCACTCCCCATTCCCCCTTCCCACCCCCTTTGAAAACCATAAATCTATTTTCTATCTCTTTAGATTTTTTTATTATCAGTTTTTCATAGATGGAATCCTATGCCATGTGCCATTTTATGTCTCTCTTCTTTTATTCAGCATGTTTTCAAGGTTCATCTGTGTTGTGTCTTGTGTCAGTATTGTACATAATTTTATAATTATCTTTATTACTTACTGTTAAATTTTCCCCCAAATATGTCTTTTAGGTTGAATTCAAGCTAAATAAAGAAATGCCGTCATTCTCTGGTCGACTCTTACAACATGATCTTGAAAGAAACTACTCAAGTAGGCAAGGTATTGTCAGCAAGTGGAGATCAGATATGTCTTATCTTATTTGAGTAATATTGCTTAATAATCTTGACTACCTAAATCCAAATAGACTTGAATTAAAAATGAAATGGTTCATTAACCAATGGTTCACTGATCAAATTGGTTTGGTATTTATTTGGATCAGAATTGATTTTATATATACAGCATGGTAGATTATTTTCAATAGAAAAAGCAGTTGTACTGTAGTTTGAGGCTGGGTTATGCACAACAGAATGGGAAGGAATCTTCCAAATGCTGTTTTAGAATGAGGAAAAATGCCTACCGCATGAGGGTAAGAGTATGGGAACACATATGTCTAGGAAATATGGGAACAGTGGAAAGAGTGAAAAGTCAGGAGTAGAAAAGAAAATCTTTCCCTTACTAATGTATATAATTATAGATATTTTAAGTCAAAGGCCTTACACTTTAGTGTGCCATCACCTGAGATTTTATTAGAAAGGCAGGTTCTTAGTACTCCCCCTCCTTTCTTCCTCTTCCCCATTCTGATTTTGTAGGTCTCAAGTGGGATTTGGAAATGTGCATTTTATTTTTTTTAATTAATTATTTTTATTAACGTAAATGTATTTTTTGCCCCAGGGGTACAGGTCTGTTAATCGTCAGGCTTACACTTTTTACAGCACTCACCATAGCACATACCCTCCCCAATGTCCATGGAAATGTACATTTTAATGTCTCGAGGGATTCTGATGGATGTGGTTTGTGGACCACCCTTTGAAAAACAGTGCCTTATATGATCTGGTTAGATTTCTGAAATGAGTTTTTCAGTTCAAGGAGAAATGTTCCTTTAGACATTTGAGTGGTTAGTTGGTTGTTAACAACTGCTAGCCATCTGTAATGGGCTAATGTTAAGCATTACAGAATCCTTATATACTGTACCATCTGTACCTCCTAGGAGTTTGTATGAGGGGGTTGATCTGTATAGGCAGGCCCAGATTGTGCATCTCATTACTGCACGAACGTATGGTCATCTCGAATGTTGGATTAGTTTTCTTTTTTTGTTTTGTTACTTTTGGACTTTCCTCTTGGGCCCATCTAATTTGAGATGACTTTTTCTTTTTCTTTTTTTTTTTCTTTTTCTTTTTTAAAGATTTTATTTATTTGACAGAGAGAGATCACAAGTAGGCAGAGAGAGTGGTGGGGAAGCAGGCTCCCCGCTGAGCAGAGATCCTGATGTGGGGCTTGATCTCAGGAACCTGAGATCATGACCTGAGCCAAAGGCAGAGTCTTAACCCTCTGAGCCACCTAGGCACCCCTGACTTTTCTCTTTCTTATATCCTACAGTCAAGTCTTGGCCAACTGCTATACATGGCATCAACATAACTGCAGTTCCACGCTACAGGGAGCATCTGTCTTGTTCTCTTTGGTTCAGTTCACTACATATTTATTGAGTGTATGCTATGTGCTAGATACTGTATTAGGAGTAGAGTTATAGATGTGAAATTGAGAATTCTCAAACAAGATTCTTTATGTTTGCATTA